TGCGCACAAATATATGGAAGCGAGTGGAGCTAAAAGAAGATCAAAGATTGTACAAAACTGGAAATGATAATAAAATAGTTGAGGAAACTAATTACGAAAATACACAAATCCAATACACAAATAACGAGTTGAATTAAGAGGTGAACAGGACCAAGAAAGTAGACGAACTTATTAGTATCTGCGACTGAAACTTGCAATTTAATTGTATATTACATTCTTAATTGGCCATCGCTGTATATATATGAGTAGTATATACGCCGAGTGGAGCTTATATATTCTTGTGTGGCTTCGTTCTCTGAGCGTGCGTTGTTTTGGTGTGGAGTGGAGCTTTCATTGTTTTCTGAACAAAACATATCAGCACAAAATTCAGATAAAGTGAAGCGTTCGAAATTTCGCCACGTTTGACCTGAAGTTGTGCTGGTGATGTTGTTCAGAAGAAAAAATGAAAGCTCCACAACCAAAAACAACAGCCTCAGAGGATACGATTCTCCAGCACCACCACAATTATTTATAGTTCTATCTAACTGCAGAGTGTTTATCTTGTCTGGGGGACGTTTGATCCCAGAACTTGCTTGATAAAATGCCTAATTTGTAGCATTTATTCATGGGATTCGATCAGTTGCAACCTTGAGATATCGACCTTCCTCCCCACTGGGGAGAATCCTTGACCGTGATGTGGTTGTACACATTTTCTGTTTATTTTTGTGACTCGCTTGTCCGCAACGAGTCGTGTCCTAACACAACGACTCGTACGTATACAATATAACCGCGCACTCTAGTGTTGCTGTTGACCTTATTCATCTGGGTATTGCCATCAAGTGTTTGTAGAAATGCACTTTCTACGCCATATCAATACTTCTTGATATAGTTAGCCGGGCCGGGGACAACGGATTAGAATAGCCTAACGTGTCACTGGTTCATCGTCTCGTTCTCGTTTATCAACTAAGGTGAACTCGTTATAGTTTCGAGCATATCAAGTGACGAGCATAAAGAAATTCGATTTACCGTAATGGTCATTAGTAGATCAGACCAGTTAATACTACATGATCGATCTATCCGTAGATCCATTGATCGTCAGTAATTACATTCCTCACATCAGTCGAAAGATTAACATATTTGTCGATACAGATATCAATTAGAAAAGCAGTTGTACATTTAGCTGGTGCTCACATCATGCATGTCACTGGTGAACACTACTTACGTTAGGTTGATCTACAACATAAGAGATTATAACTAAAGAAATAAAGTAGGAAGAAAGTTTCACTTTTTATAAGTGAATTTGTGGTGAAGCTAACATAGCAAGTCTTTGAAAGGCACTATATATAAGCCAATAAGTTTTCACAAGTTCTTATCATATAATGAACAGTTAAATAAAAGAGTTTTGGTAAACAGATATGTCTGTTTAGAATTCTGATCAAAGTTATTTTGAGTAGATTTTTGCTGTTTTCCTAAGTTTTAAATAAGGCAGTTTCCAAAATAGATGAGATACACAATGAAAGCTAAACACAAAAATGCAATGCATGAACTTACTTTCTAGAAAATAGCAGTAAATTTTGTAAAGAATCTTCAAAACGAATCATTTCAAGACGTTCAGCTCGTGTTGTTTTCACATAATCTGCATAATGACGATTATTTTTCCCAATAAACATATTACTTTGACGTGCAGTCATAGTTGATAGACGTATGGATGGATTAAAACAGAGAGCAGCGCAACTAGTGCATGAACATAGTGTTTTAATAGTTTTAGGAATATATCCATGTGACATTGAATGTTGAGATATGTTTTGATTATATTTAATAGTATTTACATGTGTAGTAGTTGATAAGCTTATTAAATGAGATGAATGACCTGTATAGAGAGAATAATGAGGAAATGATAGTAATAAAATTAACTGATGAACTAACTATCAAGAATCGGCATTAGTACTTATATCTAGTAAACATATACAAATAGTAGTATGTGGAAATTTGTCAAGATTGTAGAATTTTCATAATTTGAATCACGAAGCGATTTTAGTTAGTTAGCCTTTACACAGGCTCTCCCTAGTATGGAACTATTTAGAAGTGGGAATTCACGACCAAACAACTGGGAATGGAACCTGGGATCTTTAGTCTGGACTGTGAATGCTTAGCCCCCAGGTCACTGAAATGAGATCCAAAGGTGTACGAGTTCAACTTCAATTAATTCATAATATTGTATGACAATCCTCCATTGTCGTTGGTGGCTACCTTCCACACATTTGAACTCCACTGTTCACAGTTTCTCACAAGAACTCCGGAAATTCTCACAATCTCATGTCTCCAGTAGTGACTAGCTTTGAGAGGTTAAGCGTTCCCACGTGAGACTTAAGATGTTACGTTAGATTCCTAGTTGTTTGGTCATGCATGAACGCTGTTGAAAAGTTCCATACTAGAAAGAAATGGCCTTCAGTGTTTGCAATTCTTCGATAGTAGTCTAACTCAAATCGGTTCATAATTTCGATAAAACTCAATAAATTGTGTTTACGCATTTGTAATTAGTTCATATTAGTTAGAGATAACCCTAGTAACATTTCGAAGTTCTATATTAACTTGTGGCTGTTGGAATCCGTTGAAAACTCATGATCTAAGTAAACGCTATCATATATCATGATTATTGGACACGCCTACAGATGACATAAGAAGAAGAAAAATTCAAGTTCTGATTGATAATTGTCTCCAAAAAAACTATTCAAGAGTGTGATTACATAATCAATTGACAAAATATTAAGGTCAGATACAAAAAATCAAATACATTTGTGAGTCTATGTAAGGACTATGATGTTTGTTACATATATGCTAATGGCAGATATTGGCAGTTAAATATATAAAACAGTATGATTGAAAATAGGTATTGTATTCCTTTTTTTGACTAGATTCTTTAAGTTCAGTGTTCAATAATTTGTCTTATTATTTGATTACTTTGAATGTAATACTTGGAATGACAGTAGTTAAAATCAATATTTAATAAATGAAAAATTCAAAGATTTTTCCACTTCCTTACAACATGACAAATAAAATCACAATGAAACGATAGAGAGAGAACTAAGGAATTCTATGTTCAATAATGGGAATATTTGCTATTGTCTGGTGGTCTTTGAAAAAATTTGAAAGTGAATATATACATATATTTTTTAGAAAGCAAACTATTATCATTATTTTCGGGCAGAGTTTTGGAGATCAGTGTTTTTACACATTTGAAACCATCAATCAATCATTGTTAGACCACCATTAGAAACCTGGAAGCACTGGACGGCCGTTTCGTCCTGGTATGGGACTCATCAGCAGTGTGCATCCACGACTCCTGCACCTCGCAGGATTCGAACCCGGGACCTTCGGTATTGTGCGCGAACGCCTAACCATCGGACCACTAGGCCGGCATCCAACAGTGTTAATGTCTAACTCTGATTGATCTACGGATTTTGCGCGACCTCACCCTATGGTCTTTGGCAGTTACTGTCTATACCCGACAGTGTTGAACTCCATTGGTCACGTCTTCTCAACTAGAACTCCGAGAATTTCCTCAAGAAACTAGTCACTAGTGAGTACATTTTACGATATTTTCGGGCAGAGTTTTGGAGGTTAGTGTTTTTACACATTTAAATTATTGTTTTTTCAAACAGTAAGCTCATTTATATCACTAGGGATTAGCAGTGAACATGGTGATGAACAATGAAAAATGTTGTTCTATTCGAACAAGGATTAAAATAACATCAAATCAGCTTAAAGAAACAATTGATGTATTATGATTATTATCATTAATGTATATCGTTTAATTGTATAATCATTAAATAACTGACGAACTAGTAATTAAGCTTTACAATAAAAACTCAAAAATTATTATCAGACCATTGATTTTTTTCTATTTTGTTGACAGTTTATTATTTACAATTTTCTCCAACTTATAATCATTATTGGTTTATTCATGTATAGTTATAATTAGTTATTTATTAGTGTGACATGATCAAGTTTTGTAATGCATATTAAGGAATATCTGCAGTATAGTAAAGAATTTTATGTTCTTCTTCTGCATTCAAAGCAAGTTAATAATAGAAACAACCTTGAAGCATAGAATAGCAATTCTTTCGTCCTTGTGATGTGTATTAGTTACTCAAAGGTTGTCTCTGTATATTCAATGATTATAATGTAAGAAGGACATATAACACATGTACACACAATTTTACTTATAAATTCAATGCACAAGTATTTTTAAACAATAATATTTTAGGGCAGAGTTTTGGAGGTCTGTGTTTTTACACATTTGAAATCAACAATCAATCATTGTTAGATCACCATTACAAACCTGGAAGCACTGGATGGCCGTTCTGTCCCGGTATGGGACTCATCAGCAGTGCGCATACACGACTCCTGCATCTCCGAGGACTCGAGCCCAGGACCTTGGGTATTGCGCGCGAACGCCAAGTGTTAAGTTCATCAATTGATATACTTGAACTATTACGAGTTCATCTTAGTCGGTAAACGAGAGCAAAGACAAATGATCCAGTGTCATGATAGGCTATTCTAAACCGTTGCCCCATCTAACTGAAGAAAGAAGTGTTGATATGGCGTAGAAAGTGTATTCTACAAGCACCCAGAAAATATGAGGTCCTCAAGCACACAAATCGAGTTTATTTATACATGATAGAAACGTCCTTGGGAGAGCCACAAAAATAGCCTACTAAAATACTACATCAGCCAATGACAGCCAAGGATTTTCCAGGTAGGAAATGCTACCTCAAAGTCAAATGATCAGTCCATTCTCGAAAACATAAAATCCAAAATCAGGACCTTTACCAAGTGAGTTCTGAGGATCTAACGTCCCCAAAAACCAAGTAAAACAAAACTAAAGCAAAGAAAATTTAAATCATTCATTCATTTATATAAACAAAATTTATTTTCAAAATGAATATTTCATGAATTTACTTACCATTTGTACAAGATAAATCATAATGATTAAATGATGAACTATTTACCAGTAAACGTTTATACCATAGATGATATTCTACAATAGGACCATTTGAATGATCTGGAACATTCCATAATAATTGTATTGTATTGGCATTTAATGGGAATGCATGAAAATCAGTTGGACTAGTTGGTTCTGTGAAAGAAAGAAAACTTCTGTTCAGTTTATTGATCATCATCATGATCAACAGCAACGTAGAACTTCGTATGTAAGTACATCAGTTCAGCTTGCCATACCACATTAGCACAGAGATGCAACTGTCAATTCATATACCATAGTAGTAGAGGTCAGTCAGTCAGTCAGTCAGTTGCAACGTAGAACTTCATACGTATGTACATAAGTTCATGTTGCCATACCACATTATTAGCACAGAGACGCAAACGTCAAATCAAATCCCATAGTGATAAAGATAGTAGCGGTATTAATGTTAATAAAGAAGACTAGGGTTCGAAGATATAATTCAAGAAGTATATAATTCAGTGAGATAAGGTTAGAAAGACTGAGGTAGAGGTGCTGGCTAATCCAGATTAGGATTTGAGAGAGCTCAAAGAGTGGATGCACCTGCGCCATTGCAAACGATTTTGAGCCATGTCGTTCAAGGTCTCTAACCATCGGTGACTTTCGTCTCGCGGACCCCAACCAGGTAGTCTACATCTACCAACATGACTCAGTCCACTTGTCAGTGACTTCATGGATTTCTGCCATGTTTTGGTCTGGC